CTAAGACAGTCCGACTCTAGGAAATATAGATGATTCGGATCACTGCGAGTCAATGAACAACGAAATACAGTGATGGCAACTATCAGGGGCCATCCAACTAGTCCATAGAACCCAACAATTAGTTCACGATACAAATAGGTATGGACTAATAAAACAACTAATTGGCTAATTTTTAGCCATGGCTAACTAGTCGTGGTTCATCCAAACAGGGCCTAAGACAGTCCGGTACTTAGAAATCTTGATAGGCCGGATAATAGTATTGATGAAACAATAAAATACAGATCGTGTCAACTCTTGCACCGAGTTCACCACCTCCATCCGTCGTTTGTCTTGCGCACCTCCACCTTGAACTTAGCTTCATCGTCCTCTAGCTCCTCCTCCCATTCATCGTCATCGTCATTGCTATAGGTGGCGTCGCAGATCACGCTGAAGTGTGTCGCCGACGTTGAGGTTGTTACCAGCGCAGAAGGCGCCCCACCCGTATGAGGAGGCTGTCGGATCGAACGCCAAGTGAGCCTCACTAACAACATGGTCAACATCATGGGTGCTAGGCAGCAGAATTTTAAACTTCTAGGTCATTGGATTGTAGATGACATAGCGGTATCCATCAGCCCCAAGGCACCAACATAGGATGAGGCCGTTGCAGCAATCTGAGAGAGCTACATTGTCAATGTTGAAGGGCAAGAATTCCAAGGAGCGGGGGCATACACCACGAACGACGCTAGTGAAGTTTCGATTGCCATTCTCACTGTCGTAGAAGCCAGCCATAGTTTGGGGCAGCTTCTTATGGTTGTTGGGATCCAAGATGAGGTTTTTCCAGGAGTGACAGACACATTTGCAGCAGAACAAGGAGCGGGTGGGGAGGTGGCAGAGGATCTCGAGAATGACATCCTCCGTGAGGCTGGCCAGTGCGTTCCTCTTGTTGGAGGCCTCCTCCATTTCATCAGTGTGCAGTACGATGAGAGGTTCCTCAGTAATGAGATCACTGAAGAGAAAAATAATCCAACAAAGATCCATCAGTGAAGTCCATAAATCATACCAAAGTGCAACTTGAACAACCATTAACAATTTTCATGGTACGACCTCATGTAAATTTAGAGTAGCACCACATAGATATATATATATATAACTCAAACTAGAGTAGCAGTTAATGGAGTTGTAACTATTACAATTTTAGTAGTTAATTGAGCTTCCTTAGTTTTCACAAGTATAATGTCAGTGATCAAGTGGTAGTGATCATCATTGGCATCAGTAGCAACATGTGCAGCTTAAACAGTATTGGCCTTAGTGATGTGAATGATGGACACAAAGCATTGATTTGCTTTCGATGCCTTCCTCTTGTTTGGAACCAAATGGATAACTTGGTTGTCAACAAGGAGAAGACACAGAAAGCAAACATATGAGCTGCATCCTAATACATCCAACAGCCATGTAGACACCATCGGCACAGAAATGTGGCCTCAGATATGTTACAAGTTCAAAATACCATAAGGACTCACCGGTGGCACTGGAGCATACGAAACGGAAATGTAGAATCAAGCAAGCACTGGACAGAAAAAATAGTTTAAGGCAGAAGCGAAGGGCCTGTATGTTTGCCTAGACAGATAGGTATAATTAAGCAAGCACTTGACAATTAACAAGCCTAGTTGCACATAGGCATTTACAGTAAGAACACTGAACATATGCAGAAAACCAAAACACCAGCAGAAAACCAACCAGTGCCACCTCCTAGTTCTTTTCATTAGCATTAGCCTAACCAGATCTGCAACGCTACAATGTTTCTTGTATACCTCATGTTCAAGCAAGGACCATAACAGTGAAGGCAGGAAAAGGAGAGAAACGAGACATGTGGATCGGATCTGTCGCCTCTACCGCGGCACACGATGGACACCGACGCCAATGCCGCCACGCTCCACCAGGAAGACCCGTCGCCTAGCCTCCAAAAGGACGCCTGAGCCACCACAGCACACTAGGGGTCCTCCGTTGCCGTTGCCGCCGCCGCCGCAAGTCCAATAGGCACAGATTTGTTTCCACTTGCAGGGGATACATCCAATATATAAGTCAACCTGTCCACACAAAGAACATATACTACTATTAGGACTCCAAAGACATGTCAACACAATCAGGCGTCTAGCGCAATGGTGAAGACGGTCTATTCCTTGATCTAGGTCCCGGGTTCGACTCCCAGGTCTCATGGTTTTTTTAGTTTGAATTTATTAAACCCCGGAGGCAACAAGTGACACGCAAGTCGTTGTGTCCCATAGGTCGGATGGAGATGGAGAAAGGTCCCACTGGCCATTGGGTCCCAAAGGTCGGATGGTCCCACAGGTACGCGTGACACGCAAGCCGTCGGGTCCCATAAGTCAGATGGAGATAGAGAACGGTTCCATAGGTACACATGACACGTAAGCCGTCGGGCCCCACAGGTCGGATGCTGAAAGCTCCCGCAGGTACTCGTCAGATGGAGAAAGGACCGAGCGAAGACTTCTATAACGAATTGCAAGCGTCACAGATGAGTAACGGGGTTATTAACTTTTTACCATTATAGCGATTAGCACCTCCTCAGATAGCACCTTAATGGTTGCCACTACATTTTCATCAGCGACGAAAGAAAACTACAAATTTACCACTTTTGCTCGTGTGGCACGCCAGTTCGTCACGCCAGCGCAGATCCGAGCCAGCGAGATGTGGGAAATGTCCCTCCTACCCCTGTCCTCTCCTTCACCACGTTTCTCTCCACCCACGCGACACACATTTCGTCGAACGCCCTTAGGGCGAGTGCCGCGCTCTCGCTTGCAATTGGCCAAGTGCTCCACCCTCTCCCTTGAGCACGCCCCACGCATCATCTCCACGAGGAGGTCCATGGCGTCGCGCCCTCTCCAGCACTTCTATGCGCTCACACCTCCTCGCCGCGACGTGGTGGCGCGCCTCACCATGCCGCAGGTGGACCTACTCGACCGTGCCAGCCTCCGCGCTGCGCCGCCACCTTCCACTTCAAGAAATGTGCCTTCTTTTGACATTTGATATATGCCATAATATCTAGTAAATACGTCATAGATCACCATTTGTGACATCAAGTTGACGAAAAATCAAATGTCAAAAGATGAGTGTCTTTAATGACAACTTATGACGTATAGGTGTTCATGTCATAGCATTATGACATTGATTTTGGATGTCACAAATGTTTATGACATCTACTTTTAAGTCATAAGTTCTTTGTCCTTGCCACATAAACAAATGCCCATTTCATATTTTAAAGCTTTTTCAGCCCAATTATCAATTATATTGATTTCAAGCCACATAAATTACAGAAAACATATAGTACAAAGATAACAGCCCATTAGGCCACAACCACATAGCCCACAGATAACAGCTCATGCATTCCATGCGTATTCAAAAGATTCTGTTAATTATCATGTACATATTTCTATCAAAGTGCCAGTTAAGCAAAACTAAAATGACAAATCACACGACAGGTAGCAAGATAAATCATCACAAATATTATTTAAGTCTATCCTCGTCATCAATAAGGGTTAACTCTGAATCTTCACGGAAAAACAGCACAAGCTCCAGGTAGTGTGTTCTTTGCCTTAGCCTACAATAGGTTCAAATTAACATCACACTAAAGGTTGCATAGTAACATAACATTAACAATTGCAAGGCATGAACATAGACATAGAATTAGATAGTGTTTTGCAATGGAATTACTACACAAACGACAAGTATTTGTAGTATTAAGAACAAACATAATCCACCTTTAGCTACTAATAAGGGCTGCAATTATTAAACAATGAGTAGGCAATGCAATTTAAAAATCCAAACCTACAATTCGATCTACAATTCACTTGCACACCAAACTGAATTGTAAAGACCAAAAGAAAGAGCAGTACATTGCTGCTGTAACTACAAAGAGACCACAATTCATCCGACCAAAGTGTTGCAGACCAACTCAGATGGGAAAAAGAATTAGGACGCAATATTGATAGTAGCAGACTGAAACCATTGAGATTGGCATGTCCTGAACCCAAGCAATTGCTGCTCAAACTGCTGAAGCACTGAAATACAAAGTTCTTGTGGATGTACTACTCTGTTGTGCTATACTGAACAATCATGAATGCTACTGCTCGTGATTTAAAAGCAGAGCCGACTAATGCAATGCCAAACTGAAAGATTGGGAAACAAGATCAAATTATGACTAAACAGAAAAGGTTGCGTCCCTGTACAAATCAGTCAAGACAAGCTCCTGAAAACTGAAAAGATAAGCTGATACTGAAATTCTGTATTGGATCTTTGAAACACATTGCATCAAGCTATTGCTACTCTGGATTCGAGGAGTTTTAGAAGGGAAAATTGGTTTCATAGCACCGAAAGAACGTGAGATCCGGAAAATACCATCGAAAGTTCATCGCAACGTAAAATACCATTGAAAGTGAGCATTTGTTCCGCAATCTAGCACTCTATTACTTTCGCTATTAACGTCGTTTGTTGGAGTCGGTCTGACGCTCCAAGCTGCACTTCACCTTGGCTGCCCCATCGGCCGCTGCCTCTACTAGGGCCCCTCGCTCCACTCGCTCAACGTTGGCGGCTGCCATGTTTGTGGCCTCTCCGACGACCACGGCCCCACATGCTGGGAGTGGCCGCAACCCGACCTCCCAAAAGGCCTCAAGGTCCACGACTTCTTCCGCATCGCACTAGGCCAGACTTCCTCCGAGACATCGGCAAGCTCGGCAAGACCAGCATGAGCTGCTTGGGCGCCATCGCTCACACCCATGCCCACGCCCTTCAAGAATGTCGCCACCGACCACCGCCATGCCTGCGCCATCGACGCATAGGGCAACTTCGCCTGCTGGGACGATGGCGCCGTCTTCGAGGTGCCGATGCACAAGCTGTCGAGCGACATGCTGACCATGGTGCTCGACAACAACACCACCTTCATCCTCTCGGGCAGCGGCCGGGTCCAATGCTGGGGCGCCATCTAGGTGCCGGACTAGTACAGGAACATGGATTTCCTGGCCATCGAGGCCGGCGCGACGTCGGTGTGCGGCATCCTCAAGAGCAACCACTCCATCGCGTGCTGGGGGAAGGGCGACCGCTTCGGCACCGACGGCAGTCTGATCTACAACAGCACCATGCCCGACGCCTGCGCGTGCAAGAAGAGCTGCCAGCACGACATCATCTCCGGCTACGGCGCGCTCTGCGGCACCGGCAGCGCAGAGGGCGATGAGGAGCTCGACGTCTGCCAGGCATGCGCGATGCCGCTGAACGCTTCCGGGATCTTCATTGCCAACGGCAGGGCGAGTATAGGACTAGCTGTCGCATTAAGCCACAGCCCGAGCAGCCCTTGTCACATTGTTCAGCAGCAGCAAGCCTATGGGCATGTCCTTGCTCTGCCACTACGCCTGCCCAGGTTGATGCAGTGTACATGTTATTCCCCACGTCCTCCCATGGTTCCTGCTTGTTATTGAGTGAGACGAAGGCACGGACGGTGCCAACAAACGACGTTAACGGCGAACGTAACAAAGTGCTAGATTGCAAAATGGATGCTCACTTTCAATGATATTTTACGGTGCGATAAACTTTCGATGGTATTTTTCGGATCTCCCGTTCTTTCGGTGCTATGAAACCAATTTTCCCAAATAATAACTCCCCAATTTACTCAAGTAAACATAACCCATTCATATGCATAGTTACAATATAGTTGAGATGTCCAAAAAAACTTTTAGATAACTAGGAATTGGCAACTTTAACTTCCTAACAGTAGCAATTCATTTCAAATCATGCAATTCATTCTACTCATACCGGCCCAAATTCAGCAGCTGTTGTAAATTCAGTAATCAATATGCAAAGACAGGTTCTACTATAAATCTAAAACCGTTGACCTTCTCCTATGAATCTAACAAACAATGCAAAGTTGAAACTGAATTGAGCTGATGTACTGCTACTCGCCACAAATCAACACCTCTGAAAAGAAAACCAATGTTCCATTTGCCCTCCCTGCAGGTTCACTGGAATACTACTACACTAGTGATGTTCTTAGATATAAGTATTTGACTTCTACGGTCATGACATGAACTACTAGATCTCTGAAAAACATACACTAGTTCATCCACCTTAGCTGCAGCCCCCATCGACCTTTTCCATGTGCAGTCTGGAGTGACCTTCCCTTTCTCGAGCAGCTCCAGGGTTCCAGACGATTTCCCTTCCCAGCCAAACCTAGAGCAGAGAAGAGCAGGCTGTGATCTATGGGAACACAGGAAGGGGAAGAAATCAAATTAGACCTCAGATCTAGAACATGGATGGAAATAAGGGAGGAAGCAAACATCTTGTCACCAGCTTGCCGCAGATTCGCCACCGGCATGGAGTGGAGGAATTCGTTGCGGGTTCCTCAAACTGTCTTCACTGGCTCCTGCAGCTGTGGATATGTGGTCACAGGATCTCCTCCAGCGGCAGATATCGGGTGGGAGAGGAGGGAAGAGAGGACGGCGGCTCGATGGAGACAGACGGGCGGCGCGACGGAGGCGCGGTTGCGGCGCTAGGGCAGGCAGCACGAGGCAGGCGGGCCGGGGAGGTAGGTGTGGGCGTGCTGCGGGATTGCGGTGTTCGGGAAGGAGAGGCGGCGGGTGCGGTGCTGGGAAGAGGGTTGCGCGGCTCTGTGGAGTTCTGTGGTTAGGAGGGCTTTTTTTAGATGCGTCCCTCATATTTTTTTCCTGGAGTGTGTGGCGCCCGGAGGAGTCCGCGCCCAGCGATTCAGCTCGGCCACGCCAAATTTGTTTGAGTCAGCGCGGGAGGTAGAATTTTGGGCTTTTTATTTCGCGCTCACACTCAGCCCGGCCGGCGGGAGAATTTGGTGGACTAAGTTTTTTTTAAGTTTTCGCTGTGTACTAAAAATACCATCGAAGAAATATTTACACCGATAGAAAATAAATCAATTTGTATGTGTGTACTGTTTACATCGACAGGGAAATTATTTTTTGTATTTTGGAGACTCGGACAGAAAAAAAATAATATCGTAATGTGGTCTGAAAATTCTAAAAATAGATATGGAGCATAACATGGTTGTACAAGATTGCTATAAAAAATTTAAATTCTTTTAACAAGGTGAGACTACACATTGTTCATGAATGGTACCTAGCTAAAAGGAATTTAAAACACAGCATTCTTACAATAGATTTATGACTTGCAAATTGTTGTTCAGGACTTGACAAATATTATCATAATAAGTAATCTGACTAACTTTAAGACGTTTTTTGTGACATACATTTAGTTATGTCACTAAGTTTAAGTGCCTCGGGAACAAACGTCATAAACTAGTCGATTTAGTGACCTTTTGATCAGATGTCATGCCATAAACGTCATAACATGACACGTTTTCTTGTAGTGTTCCACGGCTGCGACGGCATCATCCCTGGTAGGAGGAGATCATCAGCCTATTATCGCCGGGACACGGAACGTCGTCGAGGCCGTGGGCCACGCCGGCGTGCGGCGCGTGGTGTTGTCCTCCACCTCGGCACCATGTACATGGACCCACGCCGTCACCCCGAGGCATTGCTCAGAGATTACAACGGCACGCGCGGGGGCTGGACCACATCCCGGTGGTGGTACTCGGCGAGCTACTGTAGCCCAACATGAACACCAGCACCCTACACATACTCAAGTACCTCGCTGGGCAGACCCAGTAGTACGTCAACCAATGGCATGCCTACGTACACATCAAGGACGCCACCGAGGCACCCGGCGATGGCGGGCGGCGGTACCTCTGTGCCGAGCGCATTCTGCACCGTGGCTAGCTCTGCTGCATCCTCGCCGGACTCTTACCGAAGTACCCTATTCCGACAAGGTATTACAATTCCCGGGTATTGCCATACCTCCAACGCAGTCACACAGCCACGAGTGCGAGCACCTCCTCGGTGCCAGCGGGACCTCCGACATCCCAGTCGTGCGTGCGCTCGTGTCGTGTGGCTGCGCACCCCGGACGTCCCCGTCGTGTGCGTGCTCACGTGCTGTGTGCCCGTGCACACCTGACGCACCCATCGTGCACGTGCTCGTGGCTGCGTGGCCGCTACGTGGTCGTGCTCGTGCATCGCCCGCAACGAAAAATCCAAGTCCCTGCTCGTTGAAGATGGTCTGCGCGTGCACACGAAGGTCTAGCACGACACGGTAGTTGGAGTCGCCGAGGCAAGAGGAGCAGCCAGCGCGCAGCAAGGCCCCATGGCTAGGGAGACGAGCAGTGGGCGGACTCGTCGAACGAGCCATGCTGCAGGAGCAGGAAGAAGGCAAGGGCAGAGGGACATTTCCCATGTCTCGATGACTCGGATCCGCGCTGGCATGACGAGCTGGCGTGCCACGTAAGCAAAAGTGGTAAATTCGTAGCTGTTTTCGCTTGTCGCTGGTGAAAATATAGTGGCAACCGTTAAGATGTTATCTCAGGAGGTGCCAATCATTATAATGGTAAAAAGTTAATAATCCCATGAGTAATTGTAGGTCCCATAGGTACACGTCGGATGGAGAATGATCCCACAGGTACACGTTGCATGGAAAAAGGATCGAGCAGAGACTTTTATGACGAATTGCAAGCGTTACGAATGAGTAATTGTAGGTCCCATGGGTACACGTTGGATGGAGAAAGTATAGTGTGGAGATCTATGTCAAAGCCGTTCGTTACAGATCAAATATTGTTTGTCACATATGTGTAATTAGTTTAATAACGAAGCCCTGTTCATCATAGGTTTAAACGAGATCATCACAGATGAGTCGCGCGAGTGATTTGTGACGAAACCCTGTGCTCTTCTATGATGTTTTTTTGTGACGATGCCTGATTTTCGTCATATAAAGGAAGGGTTGCAGGATTGTCACCATTGATCTATGACGAAACGGAAATATTCGTCATAAAAATGATCTTCTATGACGATTTTGGATTCATCATTAGCATGTTCGTCATAGGAGTGGATATTTCTAGTAGTGTAGGAACAAGCTTAAAGAACTAAATATGTTAAGTTAATCAAGTTAGATCAAATAAGTTGTAACTCAAACATGTTTATTTTTTGTTTATGTGCCTATCAGAATCTAGAAAAACTCTTTTAAATAATGACCATTTACCTTAGGATATTACCTTTGTCATTGGAGCGTGATAATACCATGTGATGAAGGGTAGATGATTTGTGATGGTCCTTTCCTTTTGCTTGAAGTTTTCCTTATTTGGCTAGCCTCGTAGTTTGAACTATTCATGAGCTTCTTGTTTCCTAGTTTGCACCCTTTCTTTATCAACCTTTTGTCATGCCATCTTTTTACTCTTTGATCTTTGACACTTTGTTGGACCTTCTGTTCCACTCATGGTTTCATGCAGTTCTTCCATCCATGATGAATGAGCTGTGTCTTCTTTGCGCAATGTTATTGAAGTTCGTCATGTGCCTTGCTTCATATCTGATTTGAATTCATCTCGTGACTTACCCAAATTGAATTGAGAGTTTCCTTTAGGGGTTAATCTAACAAAATATCCAGTATCTACTACAGCATACTATCGGCTCAAAAATCAACCTAGACACCACATCTAATTCAATTTAGGAAGGCATTTTAACCAAAGCACCATGCTTAATTTAAAAGCCTTTAGAAGTAAAATCAACACACTTCTTGTTTCAAGAATTAAACTAGACACCTTGTGTAACTTAATTCAGGAAAACAGTTTAAACTAAGAACCATGACTAATTAAAAAGGTATGTGAAAAATACTTCAAAGTCTAAGCATACACTATAGCAAACAAAGGTAGTATAAAAGCATTATAGAAATTTACTCAAATAGAAATGAAAGAGCATAATTGTTATTTAGCAAATTGAGCATGGCTTAAATATAGAGATAACCAAAATAATTTAGCAACATGGCATAAGATTTTTCAGGGAAGCCCATCCCCCATACTTGAATTTTGCAAATATAAAATCAAGTTTGGATGGATGTGATTAAATGTTGCATGATAATTGGTTTGACATATCTTGCATCGTCATCCTTTATTCTTTTTGCTTTAAACCTGCAATGGTTAGTGATAAAAATACCCGAAAGAATATTTTCACAATTATATTGCTATGCTCATTTCACAAGGGCATTAAGCAAAAGGTGAAAGCTCATGTTATCTCCCTAAAGTGTTTGTTTTGGGACAAAAGCTCGTCCTTAGGAAACCTTCGAATTGTGCTTTAGGTTGGTGGAGTGGTTTTTCCTCTAACACCAACCTTTATATACCTATCTCAAGATTTATGCCAACACACAACGAGATTTGTAATATTTATGATAAACATACGCGTCTATAACCACCCTTTCAAAAAATTTATGAATAGGAAGTATGAGGGGGTTGAAAATCTCATGTGTGGTAGTAAAGAGACCAATTTAATTCAGAAGATTTCCCATGCGAGCATGGATTCGATGAGATGATCATGATGCAGCTTCTATGCTCGTTGGTGTAATCTTCCTTTTCAAGCTCCAGGGTTGATTCTTCGTGAATGTCTATAGGCGAAAACATTGTCTCCATTATTCCATGCATGTGACATTCATTGTTCAAGATTTCCCTTGGATTGGTGACTCTCGGGTTTATCTTGTCTAAGGCCTCCTCCAAACTTGGATGAGTAATGTTTATTAAGGAGATTAACTTAAGCTCACCGTTTGGATCTAAAACAGGTTTTGGTTCTATCCTTAGAGCTTCGGCCTCATCCAACCATTCTTTACTTGCAACCACACATGAATGCTCTAGTCGTTGTCATTGGTCTTCTTGGTCTTCCTTGGATCCTTCATAATTCCTATGCTTTGGTTATCTTAGTGGATTTCTAGGATCATCACGAGAATTAGGAGAAAGAGCATCAGGGGATTTATCGGGATCAAGGATGGTTTTAGGGATGGATTCAGAACTTATATCGGTTGTGAGCATACAAGGGAAGAAGATATGATTGGTTTCTAAATGACTCGGCTCTCCTTCTATGGCATCACTTGACATGCCACCCTTGAGTTTTTCTAGATGTTCCCCAAAGGAATTTGATTTAGGATGCTTTCTAAGAGATCCCTTCTTGAGTGGATTATATTCACTCGAAGGTCTCTTATGTAACAGAAAGTTTAAGCTTTTCTCAAAATTAGCATAAAAAAGATCATCCTTAATTTCAACAGAGATTTCTGAAGGTTGAATTTCTTCTTTCCTTGGAGGATTTTGGAGTATTGATGGTTCAGGATTGACAACTAAATCTTAGGATTAGAGTGGTTATGATTTAGCTATCAAAACTTTCTCTTCTTTCGGGAGATGATTCCTTCTCTTCCTCAGGGGTTCATCATGAATGCTAGTGTAGGGAATGCGTCCAATAATTTTGTCAAGGATAGTCCTTGCCTTACTAGCAGACAAATGAAGGAAAGCTCCTCAAGAGGCTGAATCAAGGAATTTTATGGAATCCTTGCTAAGACCCATGTAAAAATGTTGAAGAAGTACAGGGTCTTGAATGAAAAGGTTAGGGCCAGTGGTGAAGAAGTCATTAAAACGAGCCCATGACGTGCCAAGAGATTCTTCTTCTAGTTATCTAAAATTTAGAACCTCTTTTCGAAGGCTGACTACTTTAGAGATGGGAAAGAAATATAAATAAAATTTAGAGCATAGTGTTTCCCAATCTCCTTGCATACTTCCTACGATTCGGTTGTACCAATGTTTAG